TGTAAATTTTGTACTGACAGAACAACCGACTGAACTTGGTAGCGCTTATTTTTTATTGTGATCGGTAGTTCCTGAATCTATTCTGAGAAAAGAAAAAAATTGGGTTCTTTTTTTTTTAAACTAATCAGTAGCAGCAAATAACCTTAAAAAGCTCGTTGTACGTTTATTATGTATCACATACATGGAAACATATTTATCCAGTAAATATCCAGCACAATGTGGATTTGAAAATTAAAAAAAATAAAAATTTATTTACCACAAAATATAATGCTGCCAGCTAAATTTACATTGTTTTAGTATAGAAATTTACCCATATATAATGTTAGTCATCGTATTAGTTCCTAGAACAAAGTGCCGAATCATCTTCAAACGCGACACAAAGAAATTTAATGGCTTAGAACTAATTGATACTGGGTTTTCCCATCATTTGGTTGACAAGCATTTTAAAACATACGCAATGGGTATTACACGGTATCGTATAAGTAGAACACTTCAACTATTAGGTACAACGAAAATTGTCACGAAATGAACCTTAATGATAGACTGTTCTAGAACTGTTTGATTATTTCAAATGAATACATTAATATATGGACATTACCTAGAGTAAGAGATGTTTTAATTTTCTACAATATAATTTCCAACTAGATGTCTACTTGACAAACATATTTAAAGTCAAAACAACAATATGAAAATTCAAAGAAATACATATTATGTAGGCATGCATATTCTTAGTTTATTTAGGTCTCGAAAACCACTGACTATGCTCATTTGATTGACTCATATAGCCTGTAATTTATTTTTCATTCTTAAAATATACACAGTGCTTGAAAATTGAGCCAAAAGAGCGTTAGTTTTTATAAACTTAATTCAATATTTGAAAGATATTCATTGAAAAACGAAGATAAATTAGAAAACGTTTCGTAGAACGCCATTGTATAATATTAATTTTCGTAACTATTCTGTTGTAAATCTCACCGAAGGAAATTAATTTCTAAAATATAATTAGATTTCTATTAGCTTCTAGCGACTCAGTTTGAGTACATTTTGTCAATCAATTTAAGTACAGAGACAGGAGACAGAATTTCTTCTTCATGAAAGGCACTTTGTTTCCTTCAGATTTCCTGTAAAAAAATAGTTTTCGTGAAAATCCTCTGAGAAGTTTAAGCTTAAAAGTACAAACCTATAAATTTCACATTATTAAATAGTAGCTGACCACTTCAGCTTCGTCTAGGTCTCTCAAAAGGAATAAATTTTCGCCGGTTTTTTCAACATTTTTCATTGATGCTCGGCTCCTATTGGTGTTAGCGTTATGTTATATAGCCTCGATATATAGCCTCGCCATCATTTATCCATCCATCATTTAAAGGTTTTTTCAACTAGTAGTTCCTGACATTAGTGCGTCCAACGAAACAAATAATCTTTTCAGCTTACTAATAACAGTATAGATTTAAATGCGAAACTGGTTTGTTTTATTGTCCTGAAAATATTAATTTCTTTAATTATGCACTATGTTGATGAAAATGTTTTAAGTGAGGTATATGATTTATGAAAATCTTATATTTTAACTTAACACTAAATTGACAGACAAAATATTGGATATGATAGTGCGTCACGATAATCACATTTAGGTAGTTCGTAATAAAAAGTGGGGGAATTTCTATATGGCATTTGCTTATTCTTTTGTATGTTTTATTATAAAATACCTTACTACACTCACGTTTGAATTCCAAAAGAGGTAAAAAGAGGAGTATTCACCGCTTGTACATCAGATCACACATCAACAGCCTTTAACATTCCACTGCTGGACATAGGCCTCTCTTCAGAAATAAGGTTTTGGCCTACTATACCACGCTGTCCAGGCGGGTTGGTAACGGGTTTGTTTCAAGTTTTCCTTCTCTTTGCAGTGCTGTTGTCCTCCGTAATTTGCTTAAAATTACTTAAAAACCTAGATATTTTATGAAAGCTCATCTGAATGGTACTTTTCTTTTTTTATCTCTTATATTTGAATTAATTTCGACGTAATTAACTTCAAGCAACTAATAATGAACATAGAGTTTCATTACTTCATTGTCAAACTTTTAATTGAGATAGACAGATATAGAGGCATACGTCGGAGACAAAGGTTATTTGCGAGTTTATTTTAGTATTATTGTGTGCTTAATCAAGCCTGAATAGTCCTTATGCCGTGTATGCGTTGTAAGTACAATAATGACAGATTATATTTGTAAAAACTTTCTTTGAAGGTCCCATATAGCGTATTTCTACAAAAATCTATGTTTTATGGGACGTTAGATAAACTTATGACAAGAAAAAAAAATCTAAATACTAATCTCATGTAGGGCCAGGATAAAGTATTAAGAGAGTAAAATTGTAAAAAGTAAATAACAAAACAACTAGGTAAGTGACAGAAAATTATCTACCTCACTGGATGACCCTTTTATATTTCAAAACTGATCATAGAAATAACATAAGTCAATTAAACAGTACACAGACTACAAAAATAAAATATAAACAATTGCAAATTACTATTCAATAAGTCACTTGTATGAAATGTGTAAGCTAATTAAAGAAAAAAAGAAAACTAGGTAATGCTTGTTAGTTTGTTCACATTACAAAGTTCTTTACTTCAGTGCGCCTGAAGTCTGTTAGAATACGTGACTTGAATGCCTCGTCAGAAAGGTCGCCTTTCTTCAGATAAAATCTCGAGAAAACCACTAATGAGTATTGACATTGCGCGAAAAGATTTTGTACTCATTTAAACTGGTTTTAGCTTTTGATTGATAAAGTAAAAGGACTATCCATACCTACCCAATTAGGATTTAGCTTTATTTTCTCATCTGCATTTTTGGTGGTAATTGGGGAGGGGGGACAAACGATTTCTGTGGTATTGTAGTTTTGTCATTTTTTGCAAACTAATATATAATCGGTATCCAATCCGATTAAAACGGAGTTTATTGTTATTTTATCAAACAAAGGTCTTTAAAATTAGTAATCAGGTGTCAGTTAGATAAATACCGTCTTATTTAATAACTGAATAAAAATACACAATGATGTGCTTCATGTAGATTTTCAAAATTTAAATAATAGAGCTTTGCGACGGGGTGCTTATACGTTCGTTTTTTTTTTTCTGAGTGTTATACATTAACCCTATCTAGATATGGAACAAAAAAGTAATCGTATTTTTATTTTTTCTATTGACAGTTAAAGGCACTCTAATTTACAAATAATAAGGTAACGGTTTGAATGTGTTTTCTTATGGAAGAACCTATACCATCTTACCTATACTGGTAGGAAATAGACCAATTAAGAAAACTAATATTTTTAATGTTTTTTATTGATGTCATAAGACATCAACAAGCTTTATTTGAGTTGATCGCTGAGTTGGTGAAGATATGGATTGATGCTTGGAGCACCACGACTCAAAGGCAGCTGTGAGAATCTTACATTTAAATACTTATCCGCTTGATAACAAAGTAAATTTTAGGTAGAATAGGGTACGTACGTACTTAGGAATTGCCACATTAAGAGATCAGCCAAAATCTACTGTCGTTACAAGCGAATTTCTAAAAGGACTTGGTCACGTCATTGAATTTACATGGACAGCTGTTCGTGGTTGAAGGAAGAGCTGCTGTCTAGTGATATTTGTTAACGGTTTTTTTTTGTAAAGGATAGGATAAGGATTCAGGCTTGACCGGAGTATTACCACGGCCTACCAGAAGCAATTCTTTTGTTTATTTCATCGACTCTCCCTAGAGTATTTTCGACTCTTGAGTTGCCAACTGCGACTTTAGAGGACTTTAGAGTCACAAGAGTCCGGGTCTAGGTATTTGGTGTTTCTTCGCCCGTTTGGATATCTACTTTTAAGCTTAGTCCATCATTCAATCCGCAATGTATCCGAAGCAGCGTTTTTTACAAACTTAGGCTTATTAGGTGGAAAAGGTAGATCCACCACAACCTGTTAACATCGAGAAATAGTAGAGATGGGAGCAAGGATCTGCTGCTTTGCATTTTTTTAAATGGACAGCTCCCGCACTAGGTATATATCCTGTGTCAATAAACTGACTCAAAGAACACCCAGACTAAGAACAAGAATTTGTGGATCACACAAAGTGTGTGTGAACTCGCAACACTCAGCGTAGTAGAAAGTGGCGAGGTGACCGCTGAAGCCGATACGTCATCCGTGCAGACAAGTATTGGGATCGATGAACTGTGACGAAACCATTAAAGTGATATGATAAAACTGTACATTCAAAATAAATCGCGTAATGCAGAATAAAACTAACTTTCAACTATTGAACAACTATTGAAAAGTACAATATCCCGACAGAGCGCAGATACGAAAAATTGACTATTGAATAATAGGTTTATTGATTTGTTTGCTTCACCTCACTACTGTAGTTAAGAACAATGCTGTGATGATCGATCGATGCTGTCTTCACTGTGACAATATCGTATGCAGCTCAGTCTTATTGAGTAAGCTATATTATTAACCACGCGTTTTTATCTTAACAGTTACTGTTAGTTTAATAATAGCAATAGCACTGCCAAATTTATTGTTAAATAAAACATGATTTTAATATATTGGAAATGGGCAAACTCCATCCTAGGAGTTTCTATATCCTCACTTCAAACTGACGGTGAACAAGAACAAGTCTTTATTATAGTGTAGACTGTTCTAGTATTCTTTTTGTGTTTTGTGGCAGAACCAAAGTGACCAATAAACATTAATTTTTAAGTTTGTAGAACGGATGGTTCCAGAGCATCGAACGGAACGATACTTCACTATAGAAGACTTTATCTATAGGGACTCTAACCTCGTGAAATTTAAGTAATTGCCTCATAAATTATTAGAGACAATAACTCGAAACTGCGTTTGTTCCAATAAGTTTTTGTTCCTGTTTAATTTTATTATTGTAGATTTTACTTAAGAGTAATTTTGTTTAATTAATTAATTTTCTAGAACCTAACTTAGGGTAAATGTAGAATGTAACTTTTTGAAAATGAATTTAATTGATGTAACTGCTACAATTACATTTAGGACTAAAATTGCCATCCCTTCTAATTCATTATCACGATGTTATCGCATTCCATCAATACTGCAAGTCAAGGCACCACCCCCATCCATTACCCAGAGGAAATTGAAGTATCACCGTGTGGCACCTCCTCCACCTGTTACCACTTCATCACAGAAGGCCACTTCGTCACAGGCCCATAACACTCTAACACCACGACCTAGCCGTCCTGCACCGCCTCCCCCTAACACTAAACCACTAAAAAGTTATCACCGTGCTGCCCCACCTCCACCAATGTACGCCTCACCACTCAAAAAAGACTCAAGAAAGAAATCACATTGTACAACGACATCACCAAAACCTAACCGACCCGCACCTCCACCCCCGGTTACCGTACCGCCGCGTTATCACCGCGCTGCACCACCTCCACCTGTCACCGCACCTCCAAGACGCCGTCGTTACCGTAATGCGCCGACCCTTTCCGTTACCGCGCAATCATTACGACACCATGGTAGTAACAATACACCGCCGCCAACGTATCACAGAACTCCAGCACCTGGAGTAAAAAAACAACGCCGTAGTCGTATTACACCATCAAGGTTTTTGAATACAAAACGCGCATGCATCACTACCGCATCATCATCTAATAGCACGGTTACACTACCACCTTCGCACAATAACCACCCACTCAGCACACAACGTTATAAATGCTCTATACCACGCCCAAAGATTGCTACTACCGTTTCACCTTCTAACGCTTCTTGTATACGACATCGTGTAATGATCCATCACAGTGATGAAACACAATCAACGCAACAAAGTCATATATATATAGCACAGGACCATCAATACACCAGTGCTAAGCCACCTCTCTCAATTCCGGTACGAAAAGTAAATAAGAAGTTTAATAAGAAATAAACAAAATGTTACCTGTGCTTTCATTTTTGTTTATTTTTGTCAAATTTTATGTAAAGTTACAAAAACATATTCACGTTTCCAACACAAATAAAGGATTACTCTCAAGAGAAATGAATCTGGATACCACAAAAATACCTGAAAATCTTAAAAACTGAGACGGTAGCTTAGTGAAATAAAGTGTATTTACTAAACAATTAAATACTTCTTGAATAAAAGGCGGTTAAAGGCCTAGGACTTTTTGACAATTACCAATTCCAGTAACATGTATGGGACCCTTACGAGCTCGAGTTCACATTCTTGAAATTGTTATCCCTTCTTATATACTTTTCCTTGCAATAAGGCATTAATATTGTCCTCTACAGATGTTGTGTTAATCTCGTGCTTAGAAGAAATTTTAAGATTTCCAGGTCACACTTGTACTCTATGTACTAACAGAATGATTTCTAGTGTTCAAGGTAAATTATATTACACTAATAAAACTGATTCACATTTACCTATAATATTTTTTTTGTCTTATTATTTATCAATTAAGTACGTAGCTGTTTACCAGTACTATTCTTATTTCTTGCCATGTTTAAAATAAATGTATAATATGAGGATATTATTGAATTGATTTTTTATCTGAATTATTTAGTCAAATTAGTATTTCGAGCACAACATACGAGCGTAGATACAATATCACGGTGGTCTTGTCCTGCAATGTTTTTTTTCATATTCAATGTGTGTTGTACAAAGTCATTATGTATTCGAGTCTCACATAAATCAAAATACAACCTTCACTTGCAGACACAAATATATGTACAAGTCACTTATTTTCAGTTTTTAAGCTAAATAAATCAGCATTTATGTCATGTATACTCATTGTTAAAACTTTTTACTAAATGTTTGTTTTGAAATAAGATCACTATGAAAAAATTTGTATGCATCATGCAGTCACTATATCATCGCCATCCTCATAGAAACATTAACCACCTCTTAGCCAAAGGTAGACTCATAAAAGTAGATTTTCATACACCATAAAGAAATTATGTTTGTGACTACCGAACTTACTACCACATTATGATATGTGTCGGATAGTTTAGATTGTGGAAAGTAGAATATCGAAAAAAAAAACAGTAAACAATATTTATTTTATAAGTACTTGTTTTATTATTTAATTGCGAATAAAACAATAAAAAATAACATAATAGTATGTAAAACAAAACAATAAAAGAAACACAGCTCCAGAACTATTATTTACTCAGTGGTGAATTATGAGGGAACACTTGTGACTAAATTATTTTTAGATTTCCATTCTATTTCAAACACTTAATAGAAATGTAATGTGATCTAATATACCTCATCTTCTGTCTTCTCTTTATTAGATTTAGAATCCGTTCTTATAACAACATAATATATACGAGTAGTTCACGACAAAAGAACGCTACAGTACCTTGCACTAAATATTGTTAAACTAAAAAGTGTCCTTTTAGAATACCCGGTTTCGTCTCACAAGGTTCAACTACTTGGAACGGAGCGGTTATTGATCGACACTGGCGCTGAAGATCGATCTTACCTAGTTGCAACACGATAGTATTTACTTCTATATGCGTTTTACTTTTCCAAAACAACCTATTGTTGAGGTATTAATTGAACTGTATTTAAGATATTATATTGATATATTGAGATTGGAAATTTCAATCAATTGTTAAGGATTTATTGAAATAAGTTAAGAATTTGTTAAGGATTTATTTACTTGGTCTTTGTAACTTTATTAATACATGCCAGTATAATTTGCAAGGAAATCGTATAAACTTAAAAAAAGAAGGGGTTTTATAATAATATGTACCTGTATATTTGGATCTATCTACGTATGTATGTATATGTCTGTGGCATTATAGCTCCAAAACAGACCTACTGATTTTGATTTAGTTATTTTGTTTACTTATACTTATTAGTCTTCACAATGTTTACCTTTAATGTAAAAGCACGTCATTTTTCAGTTCTTGGTACTAATATACTCATGCATGAAAGAAATAAGTGCACGCCCGGTGACATTCATCACTTCGAATTTGTATTTGTTATCTGTTTCTTTAGATATCTTCTATATTACTCTAATATTACCGTCATTAAAAGAGTGCGAAAGTCTTACTAAGATAAAAGTAAACATAAAATAAAAGATTTTTTTCTCCGTCGTCGATTTGACAGGCAATTTATCTTTAAGCTTTTGTAGTGAAGTGATAAGGACTATGATGTATTACGTTAGTGAATTTTCTACGTCAAAGACCATCACAACCTTACTAAGCAGCTTAAAACAAGAAGCTTTTATTTTTTCACGAAACCGCATAAAATCTGTTTTAACATCGCGGTTAATTTTATTTACTTGCACAGATTTTATTGCGTAAATGAACAGGTTAATATATATTTATACCCATTTCGTAACTTACCCAATTTCGTAACTTCACGTAAACTACCTAAACTTTTAAATAGATTTAAAGTGTGAAGTAAAGATTACTTGAACGCCATGACCCTTCAATTTATTGTAAAATCTTATCCGATTTAATTAACGAGTTTACTGATCCGAGCTTACCAACTTTTATTCGGTCTTATATTAAATATTCTCGGCTTATTGTCACGCGTAGAATAAATCCTTCATGAAGGTGTTCATACACTTGATTAGTAAAGAATGCGTTATCACATATGCAGTTAATTAATTGCTGATGAATATGGACGCTTTGATAAATATAGCAATAAAATTATAATGAAACAAACATGTTATTGCTTCTTGATATATTTATTTTATTTCAATGTCACTTTTAAGTTCAACTTTTCCAAAATAATTTCTATAATAATATGTTATTATAGCCACAGCGATAGATAAACTAATAGTGGTATCGTGAGATCAAAGCCCTCACAGCAATATCACTCTCATGTATAGTTCGCAAATATAATACAAATGGCTTATAGTAGAAGTAAAGAATATGGACAAAGAAAATAAAAAAGCAAAACTTACCATCGAAACGTAACTAGGTAAAAATCTATAGATTTGACTTTTTTGTGGCAAAGCGAATACGCCTCATGAATGTTTTATGGGATGTCGGGCATTTTCATACCTACTTTACGAACAATACCCAATAGCGACATTGTAATAAGAGAACCGTTGAAAATCCAGGATAAAATTTTGAGAACTGTTTTGCGTCACACATTTTGTTATGATATCATCACACAAAAATGATGCATAGTTTTTATTGTTGGGTATCTGATTAATACAAACATGACCGAATTCCAATTATGTCATTGTATTACAAACAAATATGTTTATTTTAATAGAAGATTTTGTTTTTGTAAAATACTCTGTGAACGCCCTGTATAGATTCATTTCTCACTGTACTACGTTCACTAGGTTTTACCACATTCTGCTCAATGTTAAGCTTAATTGCAAAGTTTAAAAAAAAAGCTATTGCAAAAATCTTGATAAGATAACAAATCTGCCTTTTTCAGGAACACAAACAGTTTTAATAAAATCTTAATCTAGAGGCTTAACGTTATAATATCTATTCGTAATTGTATAAGCTCATATTATCTACATTTTACGAATTTGTGTTCATACTTTATACACTTATGATCAAGAAGACTTTATATTCACCACACCGTTTGCAGTTTGTATTGCTTCAATTGTTACTGTGTGAAACATCAGGTGCTATAGTCCAGCTTTCACATTTAAATTCTTTCTTCGAACCCTTTTCCCAAACTCGATTGGGGTCAGGGAACGATTGCCAGGCCAAGTACTAGGCGATTTCGAAGTTTTTCGGCTCAATCAATTGGTGTTACGTAGAGATGTGGCTTCACTCTGCATTCTCTATCGCATATATAATGGCGAGTGCTCAGTGGACTAATACCAGCCGCAACTTTCCGCAAAATTTTCATCCTCATTACCTGGATAGTTGGCGCTCCACTACTGTGCGCTTTTCGAGACACTTTTTGCCGCGCACAACCAATCTGTGGAACGGGGTATCGCCTGCGGTATTTCCGTACCGATACGACCTTCAAGAAAAAAGCGTACTCCTTCCTAAAGAGCCGGCAACGCGTTTGTGACTCATGAGTTGCAGACGTTCATGGGCGGCGATGGTCACTTTCCATCAGGTGACCCGTCTGCCCCCTCTAACATAATTAATTTGCTACTTTTATTATTGAGTGCTGGTTGCAGCATCTTCTTCTTACAGTTTGTTATCATAAAAATTGTAATAAATGTTGGCTGAGAAAAACTGACTACTATTTTTATTGCATTTGCCTTTTCTTTATAGGTAACAGTTGCGTTATTAATAAGGTAGTAGTACTCGTATTAGTTTTTCATCTAAATAAGTAACAATATTTATTTAAACAAACATCATAACGAAAACTAAATATGTATAGGCTTTGTACCTTGGTAACTTCTAATGATTTCATCTAAAGGTGAAACTTGGCCTACGTCCAGCAGTGGGCTTTAATAGTCCACTGCTGGACATAGGCCTCTCCTTAGAAAGGAGGGTTTTGCTTACTGTACCACGCTAGCCAGACCGGTTTGTTTTAAGTTTTCCTTCTTGTTGCAGTTCTGTTATCCTTCAAAGTTTGCTCCCTTAGACGGCTCTTACGACACCCACGGGATGAATAGGGATTAACCCACTCCGAATTCTTAATCACCCACCACACGTGTTTATTATTTTTATTTAATATATATATATAGCTTATTAGTTATCAGCAATATAATATACAAAAAAAGGTTACCACCTCTTCTTCTAATATGTACAGTACAATAAGAGTGCCATAAAATGTACAGATTTATGCAAAATAAAAACCATTTCTCAAAACGAAGTTGGCTCTGCAACCACAGACTCCTAACAATTTCCAAGAAATCCATTTTCCTGTAATGTTATAGCATTACAGAAAATATCTTTACCAGATATCTTGTCCTCATTTTCGTAGAAAATATTTCGCAATTCTCTCGAAAGGATTATGCAGAACAATAAATAAAATATTTCGCG